CCATTTCTACAGTGTCAAATCCACCACATTTACCCCATGTTCTAAATGTAAGAAAAAAGTTCCACTCAGATTTTTTCAAAGAACTACCACTTTGTGAGAGAAGACTCCTGCATGGCTGCTTTCCTAAACACTTCATTCTTGACCTCTCAAGGATTAATCATTTTTCCTTCTTAACCTCATTGCCATTCATACTACACACCTTATTCATTATTACTATTTTGACTGTAATGACTACCTTGAGTAGCTCTCGAGCCTTGTATTGAGTGAAATTTAGTATGAAATAAAAAAGAAGACCAGAGGTTACATCAGCCATAATGTTATAATGATAATCAGAATGAGTTAGAAAAAAAAGAGCTATTAAAAGATATATCCTCAAAGAACTTGTATATGCTTACATTCTCATTTTTGGATTACTTGAACTATAATTCCAGTTCACTATGTGCCTATATCAATGACTTGTATTTACAACAACTTCAACCTTTGCTTCGAGAATGACACTTTCCTCAAATAAGAAACACTACAGTATTAATGAGAGTCCTGAACAAGGACACTGGTCTGGAAAGATTAATAAGGGTAATTCCTAATCTCAGAAATCTAGAAAGAAATTACAAATGATTATTCAAAAAGTATTTGATATGATAAAATGTGATAAACATATTTCCAATTTGAATTCTATTTTAAAAGTATTTATTTTTAAAGAAATATTTATTTCATGGAAGCTGCAGAACATTTCACAAAAGATAGAATTTAGGATTTCTTATGATGGTTGATCAATAAAGTTCCAATTGTTCATTTATCAAGTTACCCAGTGTTACCCAAGTCTCACTGGACATTTTACACATCTCTTGAAATCACTCCACAAATAAAAAACTTTGTTTTCTGTCACTTTTTCTTTCTTTGAGGTCATTTCTCACCTTAAGTTCAGTCACACTTGATTTAACCTCATATACACATAAGTCCATAGCCTAACAATCAATAGCTGAATGCTGATTTGAAACTTTCACTGTATAAGGCTAGACTTATATAGAAAAATAGACTAAGTTCATTGAGAGTAAAGGAAATCATGTTGAAAAATAAATACATTACTGCAAAAACAGTCTTTGGCTACTTTAAACTATTATGAATTTCTAATAATTGCTAGTTTATAAGTAGTGATTGCACATCACATTTTCTACAGATGAAACATTGACCCAATTAGTCATTTCCATACCAAATTATCATATTTTGTAGCAAGAGTTTTGAATGAGATTGGAAGATGTGAGATGACCCCAAAAAAAATTATCATATTTTGTAGCAAGAGTTTTGAATGAGATTGGAAGATGTGAGATGACCCCATATAAAAATTGTCAGCAACCTCATATAAATATAGTCAGATACAGTTTTAAAATGGAAAAATACCTATCATGAAAATTTATTACATAACACTCATTTCAAGAAGCTGCAGTAAATTGTTAATATTTTGTGTGGCTACCCTTAGCTTGAATATCTGAAAAAACTTTAATGCATCTGAGAAGGGATGTATATAAATAACCTTACCATCTTCACAGCTATGAGATGTCATTCTTTGTAACCGAGCTCCTACAACTCTTCAAGTTTGTGAAGATTCTTCTAACAAACTCTTCTTTTTTCTTTTCTTTTTTTAAACATTTCACCCCAAGTAAAGCGGAACTACCACTAGCATGCAGGGGGTTACAGAGAGTGAAAGTAAGTGTAAAGAGAGGTGTTTGAGGGAAAGATAAAGAGGACGAGGATCAAGATCAAGGCATCAGAAGATGTCAATTGACATTACATTTAAAATTTTGAAGATTATAGTTATCAGGGCAGCAAGAGGAAGGGAGCTCCACTGTCAGGAAGTGCAAGAGAAGAAGCTGTTGGAGTAGAAGAGGTGTTTATATTTAACTGTTTCAACAGTAGAAGGGTGGGACAAGATGCAAACCTAGTAGCATGCTTAAATTCATGCAATTGGGGCACCAGTGAAAATAGCTCATCAGAGCAGTTGCTATGAAAATATTTGTAGAAAAGACAGAAGGAAGCCACATCATGTCTGTGAGAAAGTGACTGAAGTTGAGATCCCTGGTCAGGATCTATCACATTGGATTTTGTCAAGAATCTCAAGAATTAACAATGGGGCACCAGACCATATATGGCAATAGCATTCAATGCAAGGATGAATGGTAGATTTGAAACATGAACTCAGACAAGATAATGTAGATTTCAAGGATGGACTCAGATTTTTTTGATGATATTTATGCCAGGGTTTTGAGCAATTTCTCAATGCTGTGGTATGGAATTCCAACATGCTGAAAAATCTCACCTTCATCTCAGTATGGTATCAAATTGTTCTTCAGCACCTGAATATATTTAGCACTATTCAAGCTACCATCAACTTTAAGCAACATTCTTAAACCATCACATTCTATTTATCCCCAAAGAATTAAACTCTTATTCCCAATAATATGATTTACTTCACTTTCATGGATTCTTTAGTCACATTCACATTTATTTGATATTTCAGCAGTTGAATGTATTTGGCACTATTCAACCTAATGTCAATTTTAACTAATTTTTTTGAACTATCATTTCCATACCTAATTATCCTATTTTGCAACATGAGTTCTGAATGAGACACGATGAATCAAGACAACCCTGAAAAACAGCCGTACTAAAGTTTGTAGCCACCTCACATAAACCAAACCAGAGTGTTTTAAAACAGAAAAATGTTTAAAATTAAAATATATTACATAATGTTCATTTCAAGAAGTTACTGTATATTGCTAATATTTTGTGTAAGTTCTTTAGCTTGAATAATTGACTCAATGCCTCTAAGAAGGAATGTATACAAATCCTTAACCATCTTCACAGCTATGAGACATCATTTTCTGAGTCTATATCCCTACCACCCAACAAGATTGCATGAATTCTTTTCAAGCCATGTCTTGATATTTATGTCAAAGCTCTGAGCTGGCCAATCTTTTAATATGGTGATACTTTCATCTACCAGATTGTTATGTTTACATGATCTGTGGCATGGAACTTCATTTTGAAAAATCTTAACTTTCATCCAAGTCTTGTATCAAATTATCCTTCAGTAGTTGGATATATTTGGCACTATTCAAGCTAATGTCAATTTTAACTAATTTTCTTGAAATATCTTTTTTTTTTTTAATGTATTCCAAAAGTATCGAACTTCATTTCATCAGAGCCCCAAACTTCAGTTTTTTGTTAGCCTTCTAGGGATTTCTTGCTTATTGAATGCAACAATACCCTGGTTTCATTACTGATTATAATCTCATTCTCAGCATTTCCAAACCATAATTCATACCTCATTGACCAACTTAATCTTGTCTTCAAATACTATTCTTATCTGAAATGCTCCCTTTCAATTCATGTTCACAAAGGATGCGCTTAGTTATATCTACTGAGACTAAATTAGATATGTCACAATCTTCTATTACTTGCCTTGTAATCGTCTTTGTATGAGCTTTTGTTATCCTGATTAGATTCCATATGGATGATCACATCTTGGTTAACCTGGAACACTCCCAAGTGCCTTGATATTCAAGAGGCTTTCTGAAATGTCACTTTTTGTAATTTCAAGTTTCCAAGCTAGTGCATGCTGACACATATTCTTGGCAATCTACTTAATGCTGGTTTCTTTGTAAATTTTCACCATGATTTCAAGCAATAAAAGAATGCAGGAATTTGATGTAAGAATTTTCATTATACAAGGTCTGATCAAAATGTATTGGAACAGTTGCTATGGTAATGGAGCTAAAGTATGCAGAGTGAAGCTGCTTGGCACAGATTGACCTTGAACTCTACCATGCAGGCAGACTATGTTATAATGTTCGCACTTGTTTTCATTGTTTATAGTAGTGCATGGAAAGGAAGTGTGTAGAGTGTGGTTATCTCCCCACACTACAAAAGTTTCATCAGTTACAATGGCAGAGAAAATTGAGCAAAGAATCTGCAACAAATTTTTCCAAAAGCTTAGTGATACTAGCGCAGAGACCTACACAAAGTTGCAGAAAGTGTATGGAGAAGAGTGTATGAGCTGGACATGAGTTTATGAGTGGTTTAAAAATTGCCAAGATGTCTGACAAAATGTCAACAGTGACACAAATTCTGGGAGACCAGTAACCAGCAGAACTGATGGAAACATTGCAGCTGTTAAGAAAGTCTATCAAATGTGAATATTAGTTACAGTTCAGTTTAATCCATTCTCACTGAAGATTTAGGTATGAGACATGTCTGCCAAGTTTATGCTAAAACTGGCACAATATCAGGGATAGAGTGTATGTAAATATAAAAGTGGACATTGAAGTCAGGCCTGATGATTGCATTTAGCATGAAACAGACTGTTGCCTATGAATGTTGGCTTCAATGTCCACTTTTATATTAGTGTGTGTGTGTGTGTGTGTGTATATATATATATATATATATATATATATATATATATATACACACACACATACACACAATGCTGGACTCCCCCAGCATTTTTGATGTACGAGCGCTCATCATCTCAGTTCTTTGAACAAAACAGCCAAACAACTTGCACATATGATTGGATTATAGTGATGAAGGCTTGTGCAGAACCAACCACACTTTTGGAAGAATTGAATAGAGATTTTATATATATTTATATATATATATAAATAAACTCTCACTTTAAATCAATTTTTTTTTCTCTCATTTAGAAAGCCATTATGCAATTTTAATTACCTGAAATTTTGGGAAGCATCCTGTAAATAAATGCCAAATGATTAACAAATTGGCTTCTTAATGCAGTTAAACTTAATGAAAGTCAGCCGACACAATCACAATTGCAAAAGAGGAAACAGATTTCACACAAATTATCAATAAATTATTGATGCATGTATGATGAAAGAAAGTATATTGATTTCAAAAGATCCTATGTCCCTAATTAAATTTCTTGTCTGAAAATATTTTTTCAAGTAAAATGAAAACATTTAGAGCAACAAATATAAAATCCTTACCTTCTCGTTTATTATTTCTCAATACTTTCACTTTCTGAATAACAGCCAGTTCTAAGCCATCAGAAGCTATTGAAGAAAAAGAAATGTTTTAAGAAATAACAAAACTGTTTTCCAAAAAGATAAATAAAATTAAAAAAATTAACCTAATTCAACTAATCAATAAAGAGAAACTTCACAAAATAAAATAATTTATTTCCAATCCAATAACTGACAATAAAAATCAAAGTAAATATAACAAGTAATAAATTCACTTTGCCATTCTTACAAACAACAATTTCAATATGATGACTCAAAAAGGTTTTCTTTTGAGCTTGTTAGGTGCATTTATTTGTCTTTACAAAGAAAAATAATCAAAACCAAATATATAACTTTCTTTACACTTTTTACAGATAAATTCCTTTTAATCTAACATTTGATCTTGGATTTATTCAAACTATTGTTATCATATTGTTTGTTTTGTGCTATTATATATATATATATATATATATATATATATATATATGACTGATGGCCTAAAAATTGTATTCAAGTATAAAACAGACTGTCACCACCCGATGTTCTCAGTGCTCACTATATATATATATATATATATATATTGTGTGTGTGTGAAGGAAATTGCTATATTTCTTTATTTAATCAATAGTATATTTATTTGATATCAAATGTGTGAGCTGGTCAGTTGGTAGGTTTTGCATCATATCAGCCTGTATAAATGTGTGTGTGTGATTGACTTATTATTCCAAGGAGAAGGGTTAAAATTTTTGCTATGGCTCTAGCTATTATGTAGGGTGTGTATTTCTGAAATGTGGGGGCACATAGGGATATCAGTTTTGTAGGTCTTAGGAAAACTATAAAGTTTTGGTGTTCTAGGGTGATAGTCTATCAATTAGTTTTCATTTTTAATTAGTTTCCTGATTTCCTTATTGAATTTTTGTGTTTCAGTAGTTATTTTTGCTTGTTTATTTTTTTGTATATGTCAGTATTGTTGAGTAGGGAGTTAATTTTTTTTTATATATATGTATCCTTGTTTATGATTACTCCCTCTGACTAGGGAAGGGGATTGTAATGTGAATTTCCTTATTTCTTTATATATATATAAAACATTTTGTTAAAGTCAACTCACAAGGTCTCTTTGTTTAATTTTTTATTATATTTTTACAATATTCATCCTAATCAAAATTGTGAATAAATGGTCCAAAATTTGTGTTAGGTTTTTGTTTGAGTACTTTCAACATTCTCAATCATTAACAAGAACTAGATGTTATCAGTATTTTGGTTAGACAGGAGGATTTCTCTGGTAACAAAGAAAAGAATACTGAGCTGCTACATGACATCTGTTCTTCTTTACGGCAGCAAATGTTGGATGATTTCCTCAAAAAATGATAAAGAGACTCAACGCAATGGAGATCTGGTTCTACAGAACAATACTAAGGATATCATGGACGAAGCATGTGAGCAACAAGGAGGTCTCAGAGAGGTTACAAACAAAGAGAAGGCTTATACTTAACATCAGAAAGAGGCAGTTGAAGTTTCTGGAACACATAATGAGGAAGGAGGGCCTGGAGAATCTGATATTCACAGGTCAAATAGAGAGAAAGAGAGACAAGAGAAAGCAGCGAGTGACATTCCTGACAAGCTTGAGCAGGTGGATGATGGGACATGGTCTGAAAGCAGAAAGAAGGAGCTTGCTAAGAGCTGGGATAGAGGGAGGTGGAGAGCCATGATCGCCTACATCCTGAAAGGATATGGCACATAAAAAAAAAAGATCAGATTCCAGCATCTCAAAAAAAAATAAGATGGAGCCAGTAAAATCTTGTCTAACATATTGACAGCATTCAATTGTTGGTAATGACTAAGATGGTCAAAATTACTTCAACAAAAATAAAACAAGACATGAACTTTGGATAGTTTATCTATAATTTTGATGTTACAGCATCTTATTTGAAAATTGAAAACTGAAATAAAAAATTAGACAGGCTTTGTCTGTTGAAATTAAAAAAACCTGAAAAAAGAAATTCTTTTTGCCTAAATATACTTTACAACAACTAAGATGAGAATAATAGTTAAAATAAATCAATGTATAATAATGAGAATTCTTCATCTCAATAATCAGGTAATGCTATCAACAAGAAAATTTACTTATTGCCAACTACACTCAGTATGTTGGGAAATTAAGAAAAATATAAAATACAACAGAAATAAATGTACAAAGTTGAGGAATAATCTATCTTGAATGATAAAGGGAATTTTCTTTCTTTTTAAGTATAAAAATAAGTTTTTCCTCTGTAATAATTTTCTGTCTTCTTCTATCTGCCCTGTCCCTTGAGGACGTTGGAGATCATGGCTCCCCACAATTTCCTGTCCGTTGTAGCACATAATAAATTGTATTTTTGTTATCTCCTAAATCTCATTCTGTGATCCATTTACTCAAGCTCATTTGGTAGGTTATACATGCTTTTCCTCTATCCCTCTTGCTTTCAATCTGACCTGTCAGTATCAAATTTTCCAATCCCTCTTTCCACATTATGTGTCCTAAAAACTTTAACTCTCTCTTTCTGATGCTAAGTGTCCTTTTTGTTTCCTTTTTCTCTAAAAAAAATTTTGTTGCTCACATATTTGATTCATGGTATTTTCAGCATCCTTCTATAGAACAATATTGCTGTTTCTTCAAGTCTCTTCTTCATCTGTGAGGAGATTGTCCAGCATTCATATTTTTCTATTTCTCAGTATTTTGCTTCGCTATCTCAATGTGCCTTCAGATATCAGTGTCACACTTTCCATTCTCTGTCAAAATACTTCCCAGATATTTAAATTGTTGTACTTTTTTTATTTTGGTATCTTTAATTTATAATTTGCATGTTGGGTTGTTCCTTTTGCTAACAACCATACATTCCGTCTTCTTGCAATTGATGCTTTCTTATACTACCTTCTGTACCACTCGAGATAAAGGGTATCAGAGTAAGTGGCACAGTTAATGGGGATATGTGGGGAAAATAATGGTTAACTCAAGACTTGAACAGGTTAAGATTGTCATCATCAGAGAAGCAACCTCTTGGGAATTGGTACCACGATGTAGTGGTTAGTGAGAAGAAGCTGTTTCAGTAGAATTTACATCTCACCAATGAAGTACGAAGGAGGTGAGTGTTTTTTGCTACAATGGGTGTGGCATGGCATGTCTTTGCTGTGAAGTTTAGAACTGGTTGAACTAAGGGATGTAGTTTGTTTACTGCTATTTCCATGGAAAGTGTTCAGAGTAGTGAGAGGCTCACCATGTATCTTCTGTGGAGAAACAGGTTGTAGTGTGAATAATAATTCATTACCTACAAAAATGCATAGACACTTTTGGACTCAAGGCTGGGATGTGAAGACTGATCATTTCCTGCCTATATATAGCAGTATTACTTCATTTTCGGCCTGATCTTGCTCTTATAAAGGTAGAGGATAGAGCCTCCCTGAGAGTACACCCATTCATCACAATGATGGAACATAACTAGTTTTGTTACATTCAAACTAGTGTCCTTATCTCTATTGTTGTTATCACATTTCAGCCATTGTGCTCACTGGTCTACTTCAGTTGTTTGTCAATCTGGGTAACCTTCAAGGAATTTTGAACTGAAACCTTTTATTTAATTTATCTATTAGGATAGATTGTTCTTGTTCTACTGTCTATGTATATCTGGGTTATCTTGTTCTTATTTAGTACTGCACTACCTGGCCCAGGGATTGAACTCACAATTACTGAAAGATAACAGTCAAAACAAACACATTTTGCAAATAAAGTGCACAATACTGAAACATTGGGCAGCAACAGTAAAAATATAAAACAAAAATAAAAAATTCAATGACTTTTATTTTTTTTTATTTACCTATTCACTAATCTGTAGACATAAAAAACATGTAGACAAACATGTTTTCTTCATATTTTACGATGCATCTGACCTTTCTGTTTTGCAATTGTCACACTAACAAATAGAGGCACAGATATCACTTTATATGGATAGAAGATAAATCATGAGATTTTAAAATAGAAAAAAAATAGCTCTGAATTAATAATATTGAAAGTGCAAAAGAAAAATCCTCTTTTCTATTGTTTTACATTTTCTTTGGTTTAATTCAAAGAACAGCAGGGTTATTCTAGAAAAGGTGTGTAAAGAATTGCTTATTCATTCTCTTTCAGAAATTCTCATTCTTCAGCATTCTGTTAAACTCAATGGATGTTTATTATTCTTTGATTTTATTTTTTGTAAGGATAAGAGTTGGACAAATATATCTTGAAAAGTCTAATGTTCATGTATACATCAATTCTTATTCATAGAAACACCCACAGAGATCACAGTCAAATTTGGAATAAGAAAGTTGGAAAGGTTGGGGTATTTCTTTTGGAAAAAAAATTTACAATATTAGCAAGAGTAAATCTAGAGAAATCATTGGCAGAAATGTGACACATGACCAGAACTTTCATTTCTCAATATTTATAAGAGAACATGGCTGAATTCAAATAAACTGATTTTATTATTTGATAAAAATCAAATGACATTTCCTTTCTTTATGCATTTTTCTAATAATTTCATCCCAAGCAAGGCTATAATGCCACTAAGATGCAAGAGATTACTGGGAGTGAAAGAGAATGAAATGACTTTAGCGAGAAGAAAGGAAAATAAAAAACAGGATTCAAGAAGACAAAAGATGGCGATTGATGTTGCATTTAAATTTTTGAAGATTGTAGGTGTCAGGGAAGCAAGAAACTGGAAGAGAGTTTCAAAGGCAAGAAATGCAAGACAAGAAACTATTAGAATAGAACTTACAGTTACATCTTGCTAATTCAACAATAATGAGGCCTAGTAGCCAATCTAGTAGTACACTTAAAATAATGTGGTCATGGTACCAAGAAAGAGTGTGCATTAGAAAACTGCCATGAAAATATTTCTACAAAAGATAGAGGGAAGCTATGTCACAGCAGTGGGAAAGTGACTGAAGTTGAGATGCCAGGTCAAGATTGATAATGTTGTATCCTTAAAGAAGGTTACAAATAGATAAAGGTGGTACTCAAGTGAAAGGAACAGCAA